TAAATGTGAATGTTGGCCTGAATTTTTAAATTTTTTCTTTAAGTAAACCACCTATCAAAATGTCGCTTTATGTTAAAAACAGGGCTTCTTTTGAATAAATGTAAAACACCTAAAAAGTGAATGCCACTTGATAATAATCTTAGAAGTAATAAAAACATTTTTTTTAAAAATCAGGTTAAAAATGTTGTTCTAATAAATTCAGTGACCCTTTGGATAGTTATGTAAGTCCCAAATGATAGTTTTGAGATGGATTTTTTCCAAGAAATAGTAAAAACGTAATTTCTAGTTGCTGTGCTTAGAGTTTTAGAGAAAGTTGTTTTTTTTTTTAAGAGTCCTAACTTTTAAATATATACAAAAACTGTTTTTAAAAAACAGTTGAGAAACAACAGATGAGAAATTATTTTTGAGACAGAGGACCTAATATGTAGATGTGCCACAGCCTTACCATTTTATCAAGTTTGACCAGCTAATTTTGATTTATGTTTTTAAAGAACTTAAGTAAATTTTACTATATGGTGAGATTTATAATGGCTAAACATGCAGATTTTATACTGGGCTTTATATTTGGAGTAAAAGAACTATCTTTCTCCAGTCACTATCTCTTACAATTTCCTTCCCCAAAGTCCTAAACCCTGAAATTCTTCCTAATGACCTGACATCCTAGGACTTCCCTTGATGTGCTGGGCAGAAACATTTCAAACTCAGGGAACACATGATGGGAAATGAGTTTTATGTATCCCAAGGATATGTAATTCTCTTTGGAGGTTTTACTTGATAATAGCTGTGCCCCAGAAAACCATCTTGTTTAACCAATGTGATAAGTTGACAATGTAGTTTTTCTCTCTGATTATAATGTACTCTGTGTAGTCAATACACTGGTACCATGTGAGTGTAATTTCCTCTTTTATTTTATCTCCAATGCACTGTATTATAAATAAACAGTTAAAAAAAACACCAAACAAATCTGTTGCATCTCCTTTTAAGATTGTACCACTGTAGACACTTGTTCTAGTAAAGTAGAATTGGGCGCATTTGATTGCATTTAAATTTTTCATGCTTCAGCAGTTTGGCTGGGAGCACAGTAAAGAAAAATCCCATGAGCGAGGATAGTTTAGAATAATAGAACTTGATTTTGTGTATTATAGCAGCAACATTTGCGCTGCTTTAGTTAGGGTTGTGTCAGCATTTCCATTATAAACCCCTGTTTTCAGGGGGTATAACTAGGGAGATTTTTTTTAATACAAATTAAAAAAACAATTCATTTGAATGATTTTAAGTTATAATAGTGCAAAAATAAAACAAAGTAAAGTCACATAGAAATTGACCATTTTCACAAGGATTTTGATTCTTTTGCTTATTAGTTGTATATAGGAGCAGATACTGCTCTGATACACTGGGGGATGAAAACTTTAGTAATAGAAAATTACTGATATGAGCATTAAAATAAAATTAAGCACCCCACATGATATAGCAAGTACTTATTTGATTTATGAATTTTTAAAGGAGACTAGCCCATGGTGTAGTGGTTGTAGTAAATGAATTACCAAAAATCAAGGATATTGCAGCTTCTAGAACAGTGTACTTGATCTAGTAAAATATTTTAAAAGGGAAAGCTAAAGAAAAGAAATGAAATAAATGAGGATGTAATCAGTAAATTGAAGGATTCTTTAATGACATAATTGTACAAAAATCAGTGAAATCTAATAATTAGTAAATCTAATTTTTATTAAATAAAGTGTGCATTAAAAAATTGTACATAGTTTCCTTTTAAAAATATAACAAAACCACCACCCAAAACAAAAACTACCAACAAAACCATGATAAAAAACAAACCTGCAGCATGCTGAACCACTTTATCAAAAGGAAATGTCTACAGTGAACAAATACTTAACTAAATGGACAAAAATCATATTTTTCTCTGAGAACAAAGATTTTGGAAACTGTAGTAGAGTAATCATAAGAACTTGAATAAAATGTAGTGCGGAAAAGTGTTCTTCTTGGAAAAAAAAATGTTAATTCCTTTGCTAGAGGGATTTCAAGGTTGAGGTATGCCTTCCCTGGTTAACCATTATTGTTCTTCTTTCCTCCTGTCCTTATCTCCTAACGATGGTGTGAACTGAGGATAAACAGTCTGATTTCATTATCCTTTTTTTTTTTTGGCAGCCTATTTTTCATTTGCAACCTTGATACACATTTGTATTTGTAGGTGCAAAATAAAAGACAAATTGTGTGATGTTATAAATAGGTAGCTTTCTTGACTGGTCACTGGAGGAATCACTAGAAGACTGTTGATGAAGTAGAGGTGAAGCCTTTCCTCACTAATTGTATTCAGCGTGTAATTTCTAAACTTCCCTCTGAATTTTGATTTTCAATTAACACTCCCCATTTGAAGATAATTTTCTATTTAATGTAATTGCAGGAAATAATTTATTGGCTGATTAAGACTGAGGGCCCAGCCTTCCTTAAGAAAACACTCTAACAAACCAGCCTTTAAACTCAACTCATAGCTTTGGACAGATTTGGTCTATTTTTACAGCTGCATGGTTATGTTTAATTAGGATGGTGCACTATTGTTCATTGGTGCAGTTTACAGTTGAAATTATTCTTAAGAGACTTTTCATATTGGGTTTTATGTCATGATTAATTTATACTAAAGCAACAATCACAGATACTGCTATTGGAAGGAGCCAATTCACTTTATAGTAAGTGAATATTTGTTGAGGAGCTCAAGTCACTCTGAGTTTTGGATTATGACTTTCAATTGTATTTAGCTGTTTTAAAAAGCAGCAGTAAATTCATTCTATTGTTTTTATTGTGAATGATTACATTATTGGTACTGTCATCTGAACTATGAAAACACTCTTGTTTATGGCAAGCTCTTCATGAACTTGCAGGAGTTATAATTTGCCTTTTTTTTTCTCTGTAGTATTTATGAAACCAATGAAGTTAGATCTAGAAATACCTGTATATGAAGAAATTTCCTTTGTTATTTTACACACACACACACACACACACACACGTTCATTTGTTAGCACTGAGGAATTGGTCAAGTATATATAATAGTTCTCTGATTCTGTGATATGTTACTCTTTTAAACATTTCATTTCTTTCTCTTCAGAGAAAATATAGACATTCTTCTGTACTCCCCCCAATTTATTTTCTAGTATCAAGTCTAACAGATGAAATTTTTATTGTTTGTACAATGATTATTATAAGTAGGTATCAGCATTTAAACATGTTTCAAAGCACTTCAAAATCCTGTAATAATTTTATTTAGAACTGTGCATAATTAGATTAGCTGATCTTATATTAATTTTTTTCACTGTAGGATACTAAATCTGAGGCCCCTCATTAATTGTGAGAAATTTAGCATTAGCTGTTAAATCCTATGTGAAACATGGGCTGCTACATAAAAACTACTGTTTAAATTGGAATTAACTTAATTATTTTTCTTTGCACTTGATATTTCCTTCACTGCAATATTCATGAAAGCATGTGACAGATTTGTAAATTTAACTGTTAATCTCAGATTTCTAGACCCTTTAATCAGTATTTATTTGTCTGTAGAAACAGTACTAGCAAGTTAATGATTTGCTAATTTGAAAAATGCTCATGTGGTTTCCTATGTTAACTGATTTGTGCATTTTTTAAAAAAATGGTATGAAATCAATTAATGTTAAAGAGCAATTAAGGTGGAGATTTTATTCCTTTCGTTACACAGCAATTTTAGAGCTAAAAATGCTATAAACCAAAAACAATGTAAAATTTTAGAAAATATACTCAATTGCCTCTTCTGTTAGGGTACAAACTTTTGGTGGTTTTATTTCTAAACATTTTACTAAAAAATCATCATGATAAAGCAGTATTCTAAAAGCCTTGAAATTCATTTTAATAATCATAATTTTCTGATTATATATGAAAACACACAGTGAAAACCTTGTAATATTAAATGTAGTTGATGTTTACTTGTGAATATAGATGAATGTTCAGTAATTGTTTCTGAAGTTTTAAAATGTTATACATTGTTTTAACATTTTCATAATAAATGCCTTTTATTTAATAATAAATGCCAATAAATTGTATGTATATTCTACTATAAAACAGAGGTATAGTTATTTCATACACTCAGTTCAAATGTTATAAAATTATTTTAAGATTAATCTAATAATACCAGCCACTCAATCAATCTGTCACTTGAAAGTTAAGTTATAGTGGTTGAAGCAACTTTTAGATTATGAGACTGACGCACTACCCACTTTGTTAAGAAAGCAATTAACTGAAGCAACTTTAAGATCTTTAGAAAAGAACAAATTGGCACTATAGAGTGTTAAGCCCAGCCCTCATAATGCAAGATATAACTAAGAATTCAGGATAAGGTTTCCTTGGTTTCCTTAGGGTTTTCATCATAGATTATTTACTCTCCTGATTATATTTTCTCACATATACTTCTTTTGTACCCATATAAAGCATCAGAAAAAATTATGCTTTCAAATTATCCTCCAAACTGACTCATTTGCCAGTTAATTTATTAATTTTCCCCATTGCTACCCATCAAGAAATTTATAATCTGGTTGGGATTAGGAGGAAAAAAAATATAGCTCATATATACTATAGGTTATGAAAATTTCGCCTGTGGATTGGTAAGAGAAAATATGCAGCAATAACTGGGAAGAGGTTTTCTGAGTCAAAAGCAAAGAAGGAAATGAGAAAAGTGAAACAGATAAGCTAAGAGTTCTTTTCAGTGGTTTAGAGTAATCACAAACATTTCTAAAATTAGAGAATTTTCCTTTTTTTCCTGGGTTAGTCAAATGTAGGGGATGTTTCTTTTAGTGGTGAACTTAATCTAGAGTATATAAATGTTGATTTATAAGATACATACCTGAAATTTATATAATGTTGTAATGTTACTTCAGTGAAAGTAATTTTAAAAATGTAAAGGATGTTTTATTCTTTTGTCACTGACAGATCTTTTTAATCCATGCTATTTCCTTCTTCTGCAGAAGAATGTCTTCCAAGCAAGCCACCTCTCCATTTGCTTGTGCAGCTGATGGAGAGGAAGCGATGACCCAAGATTTGACCTCAAGGGAAAAGGAAGAGGGCAGTGATCAACATGTGGCCTCCCATCTTCCTCTGCACCCCATAATGCACAACAAACCTCACCCTGAGGAGCTACCAACACTTGTCAATACCATTCAGCAAGATGCTGACTGGGACAGCGTTCTGTCGTCTCAACAAAGAATGGTGAGCTTTTAAAATCTAGCCATTGTCAGTCACTCAGTGTGTATGTTAGTATGGCCTCATTACAAATAATAGATGTTTTAGAGAAAACTCAAAATAAATAACATTGGGAATTATTTGTGTTTAGGTCATAAAACAACCAATATGTATATTATTAGTATCCTAGAAACTGAGAAAAAATGAAAAGTGTCCATTATTAGGTCAAAGTGGCAAAATGTATTTATTTAGATTTTGGGGAGATTTGGTTATCTTATTCTCTGAATCTCCAAACTTCAAGTTGTCAATTTGGTAATACCATAAGATAGGTATTATCAAATAAAATGTGGCTGCATATTAATACTGAGAAATTATGGTAAGTAAACATGTCTGTGTGAATGAGGTCATGTGGTGAATACATCTTCAGTGAGGAAATGCAGGTATTTGTCATTTTTTATGGTCATTTGATTTATAATAAAGCTTTTCTCACTTATGTGCCTATATATTAATTCCAAAAGGACATGCAAAGCTCTTGAGTATCATTCAATCATACTGCAGGAGTTTGCCCTATGGGTAGAAACAACATCAAATACAGCAGCATATTAACCAGCTTCCCCATTTTAAATTCCATCTCTAGCCATCAAAACAGATACCAAAGTAGATGTCAGTCAAGTTTAAAGTTTATTAAATTTTTTAGCATCTAGGATGTACCAAAACCTTAATATGTTTTATTAGATTAGGAATTTTAAACCCTATTTTACATTTCTTAAATTTTCATTAAGTTAATGAAAAATATTTTAAGTGGACAATGAGGAAAAGTTTTATTGCTTAAAAATAAGGTAATATATAAAAATGCTTTTACTGCTAATACCACATATTGAAATCTTTTTCTATGTTTAATACTCATAACCAATTCAACAACCATATTCCTTAATTAGTGGAGGCAGACAGTTTTTTTTTTTTTTTTTTTTTTTTTCAGATGGCTTTGCAGATACAACCAGTGCTCTGGAGTGGTAGGTGAAAAAGGCAGGGCATTACAATAAAAATAAGACTTTTCTAGATTAACTAGGCTCAAATGGAATCATCATTATTCAATTAGATAGAGTCACTATAAAATTTACTTTCCTTGCAATAGGGAGAAGAGAGAAGATAATATAATAAAGCAAGTATAAAATCCTGTTTTTCTGATTGACCTTAAGCAGTTCATTTTATATCTCCAAGGCAGCATAGGTGAAATAGATATCCAGTCACTGCCACTGGCCTGATTTTTTTTTAAAGATTTATTTATTTATACAAGAACCGGGGTACAGGCTAGATGCGCAGGAGGGTGAGAGGATTCACCAGAGACAGAGTGGGGAACAGAACAGGCAGACTGACGAAATACACTGCTGAGGGGAGCAGCAGGCGCGACAGGAGAGGTCTGCCGCGCCATGTGGGACCCTCGCCGGCAGGCCAGGATCGAATTGGCGCTGCAGATGCTGTGGACAGCCTCACGGCGCTGCGCTCAACCACCTGTGCCACCAGGGGAGGCCCTGCCACTGGCTTTTTGATGAGATAATGGAGTTATGTTTTATTTTTATTTCAACAAATATTTATGGAGCACAGCACCTTTATTGGGACCAGCATTCTATTAAGTGCTGAATGTATAGTGTTGAAGAAAAATGTGTGATTATACCTCCAGGGAGCTTATATCTATCTAGGAAAAGGTACATACACCTACACACACACATATATAGGTTCAAGAGCTGCCTAAAATTATGACACGTGTTATAAAGAAAAAAAAAAACAGAATGTTGTGAGAGCAAAGAGAAAAATTTAATTAAGAATAAATGAATACTAATGCCTTTCTGAGCTGAAGATGATAGCCAGGCAAAGAGTAGAAGAAAGAGTAAAATTACCAAAGGAAGAGCAAGTATGAATTATTTGAGGTAAGAAAAATATAGCTGCGTTTCAGGAAATGAAATAGACTTTATGGCTAGAGTACAATGATGAGGATACAATATATCATCATGTATGGCCGGAGAGAGAAGAGATTCGTAAGGGTCTTATCCAACAAGGCCTTGGAGACAATATTATAGAACTGAGATTTGTTTCTAAATTAAATGGAAAGTTGTTGAAGGGTATAAGAACATTTCAGGCATATAATTCTGGTTATAATATAGTGAATAAATGGGTAGGGAGGCAGAGTGGAAGGAGGAAGACTTTTAGGTGAGGCTATTTCAGAAATTCCAGTAAGCGATGATAGTAGCTTCAATTGTAGGGAGGTAGAGGGGATAGAGAGAAGGGATGTGTTCTAGATATAGTTTGGCTTTTATGATAAATATTGTGTGGACAAATAAAAGTAGCTATGCTGGAGAATATATGTTGAAACAAAGAATACAGTTAAAATCAAACTTCTTTAGAGAACAATTGAGTTATTTTTCATAGTAAAATTTTATATCTTGGCTTGTGCCAAGTTGCTTCAATAGTTATTCTCTAAGTTTAATCATTTAAAAATTCCTCATAACAGAGATATTAATAATTGCTTACCAACTTTATATTAAGTGGGATTAATGGTAGTATAAAATAATATAGTATAAATATGTTATATATTACTATAAAAGAAATCATATTTGCTGGAAATGTTTTCAAACTTTCACTCTCTTTTGATACCAAGCATTGCTTTCCACTGGAGCCTTTGTGTATTCTGAATGTCTGGAAGCCAAAATATTTTGTTTTAACTCCCACTCTATAGTATTTCCCAGCTGTGTACTTATATGGTATAATAAAAGGATTTAACAAATGGGAAATAGCAGCTGCATTTGGAAATTCCCTTTGTGCTTCCTTTTCATTCGATAAATTCAATAATGTATAACAACTGTAACATCAGACCTGTAATGACTTATACAGAAGTATCATATCACCAACCAGTTTTTCTTTACAGGAAAGAAAAACAATAGAAGGATTTTAGGTTTATGGGCAGTTCTGCAAACTTACATATTGTGTGTGTGAGTGTTTTGGGGTGGCATGGGGGTTGTGATTAAGGTAAAATTTAATGAACATTTTATCTCATTCTATTTTAAAATAAATATGAAATCCAAAAAAGATTGCTATGAAGTTATATAATACTTATTTGTTACAGTGGAAAATATATTTACTCACTGTAATTGAATGTCATTAGTAGTTGTAGAGAAAGAAAATTTGTAAGTCTAAAAAACCAACAGCAAAAATTTTATCAGCACCTATTCAGTTTCCACTGTTAGTTACTTTTTGTGATGGCCTTCACTCATGAGCAGTTAGAAACAGGCACTGAAAGTTTCTTATCTATGAGGTTCAGGAGGGTTTTACTTTGAAATATCAAGACCACAGAGGAACTTTTCTATATGAAGGGGTAATGGCAAAGCAGAGAAGTTCTGCTAATCCCCATTTCCTGATTAGAAAAAAAAAATCTTTAAATGTTAAAATTCTGATTAATTATTTATTTTAAAAAATGATTAGACCACATACTTTCAAAACAGGAAAAACATTAGGCCATAAAAAAGGGAGACTAGATATCTTAAAGACAGACATTTAAAGACCGATTTGAGACAAAAAAAATTAAAGCTCTCATTTTAATTGTCCACAACTTGTATTGTGGACACCAAAATGTTGGATTTAAAATATAGTGTGCTGTTTTATTTGGTAAGATCTGTTTGAAAGTTCAAAGTTAGTATAAATATGAATCCACTGTCTGTGTTTGTTTTGTACAACTTTTACATTTTCATTATGGCATCAAGTGTCTGGTATCTTTTTTTTGCAGAGGATTATTGACATTGGCCCCTGAAATGTTTTTTGTTGTTGTTGTTGTTGTTGTCTTTGTGTTTTTGCTCATTGGACAGGAATAAATTCACATAATTTTTTTCATGGGAAAGGTATATAGCATATTATTCTGTTCAATGTTAACAAGCATAGAGAAAAATTTTGTGGTAATGTTTAATGGCCAGCAAATGATATTGCATGCCATTATTATCTGTTAAAGATTCCTGGAATCTAGAGTACCTACTAAGTTAAAGGCATCGGTACTTTTCTTGTGAATAAGAACAGATTAGATTCTGTCTTTTGAAACTGAGATTCTGGTAGTGTGACAGACTACAAAGAAATTTTATAGAGTGAGACAATTTGAAGTAATAAGTGCAATGAAGAAAATTAAAAAAGAAAATATGATAGAGAAGGACCACTTTAAAAGTCTAGGGAAAGTTTTTGTTTTTTGAAAAGGTGACATTTGCACTGAGATTTAACTATGCAAAAATTGAGGGGAAGACATCCAGCTAGAGCATATAATTGCAAAAGTTTTTTGGTTAGTGTGTTTGAGCAACCAAAAACAAAAGAGTTGCTGGAGTGGAATGGGTGAGAGAGAGGTTGGTGTGAGATGAAATCAAGGAGACAAACAGATGACAGGTAGTATGGAGTATCACAGCTTCAAGGAGGTGTTTAGACTTTAATTCCAGTGCAGGAAGAAGCCACTGAAAGATTTTAAGAAAGAGAGCAGATTATTTTAGCTGCTGTAGAGAGAATGGATTGTGGGAGACAAATCAGAAATAAGAATGACTGTTTGGAAAACTGTATCAGTAGTGCAGGTGAGAGTTTGATGATAAGTGGAAGGAAGAATAGTTAGGGGGGTTATTCGTTGAGGTGTTTTCCCAAGATCTGAAGAAAACAAGATCCATACAGAAGGTGAGGTAATATTTTAAGCAAACACATGGAGAGAAATTAAGTCAAGAATGAACAGGAAATGAAGTTGCTAAGACCAGGGAGGAGGCTGGGATAGACTTACTCCTAACCAGAGAATGGTTCTGGATAAGACAGAGCTTTTTGCCTAAGGAGGAACTATTTGCAGGTAACTTCTGGGTGGACATGGGGATGTGGGAAAGACAACAACAGTATCTCTTATAACATCCAAAATATGATAACAAGATTGTAAATGGGATCTTGTGCGCATATGTGCACATACAAACTTATATTTGATATATATTTTACAAAATGACATCTGGCTTTTAACTCCTAGTCTA